ATGACGCCCTAGCTGAAGCTCTGTGGTGGACAGCTCAGGCAGAATACATTAAAATAGGTCACCCCCTCAACCAACCATTTTACGTGGAGAAATTAACATGAAGGACACTGAACAAAGAGCCGCTTCATTTGAGAATTAATCCTGATTAACACTGATTTTTTGGGCGTGGCAGCTCAGTTAATGAAATCAACATTTTCCAGCCTCTCATCCTCCCTAAAACGACCGGAAACGTTATGTTAGATGTACGTCTATGAGTCTACGAGTCTATGTCCCTCTATCGTTATCTTCAAAAATTAAAACGCGGGACATTTTTCATTTTCGGAGAAAACCTTGAAATCTTGGAAAATATCGCTGTATTTTATCCCTCTCCGGTTCATATCCGATTTGTTGCGCAAGATCCCCAGAGAGTGAAAAGAATATGCCTGAAGGCATGCACAAAAATTCCTTGGGATACGTGGAGAGGCCGAGATAGTTCCAAGAAAGGATGAACGCTGGGAAATCTGAAGGAAGGCGTGGCACACACGCTGCACTCTTCTTAAAGGTGTCTATGAACCCAGGAGGGTAGAGTGGAATGATTTTCTTCATTCATTCCACCGAATTCCGGGACCTATTCGAGAAATAGCCGCCAAAGCTCCATACAGGAAGCACACCCGATTAAGGGAAACAAGAGAACCTGGTACTGGTGACTCTTCATAACTCTCTTCGGCTTAGGTATTACTCCTTTCACCTGTCATTAACTCTCCAGATATAAATCAGGTTAACAATAAATAGTATCCGCAGGTTCAAAAGGAGTCACGCAAGACTTGGCTGCCACACCTTCATTCCATATCGTTTCAGCTAGAAGTGAAAATGTATTTATTGACAGTTAGCATTCCGGATGACCATTGTTGCCATAAAAGGCCCAGAGCATTAAGTTTTCCGACCTTTTACGATTCGCTTTCGTTTCTCTGTTATTGGCCCACACTACAACCTAAATTTTCTCCTTCACTTGATGCATTAGACGTAGGGACTTTTATTCAATGAGCTAGACTACTATTATGTAATTAATATGCATCCCGGTACCTGAATAGAGCAAGGTCAATCCATCCGGTCGATTCTTATCCCATGTGAAGTAAAACAATAGACAGCCGGAAATCACTGTGTTTATTCATTGGACTCACTGACTTTGGTTCTACCGTGACAGGATCGATATTCCGCATCGAACACCCTTCCTGACGTTGACAAGAAGCAAAATTATGAATTGGTTCGAGCCTTGGAGAACGGGACCCACACCTGGCTTCACTTCTGCAGGAATATCAGCACCACGGATTTGTTACAGGATTATCAAATCACGGTAAATTTCCGATTGACCTTCTTATTTACCACATTTTCCTTTTCCATAGGTTGAGACGTGGAAGAAACTAGATTGTTTCCTCACTTAACAACCCAGATTCTCGTCCGCGTACTCCATTCTCAGGCACAAATGTATCCCAGAGTGTGGAAACCGAAATAAATATGGCGCTTCGTGAGGAACTCCGGAACGTGTCCCTCCCGCTTTCGTCAAATAAACCTCACTCACTTACTGTGAAATCACGCACAAACGTATGCATGCCGATCATGCACTCGATCATGCTTTTAATCCATCGTTTCGTGAGCACTCGTGAGTTAACTTTACATCACTTTGTGCCTTCATGGGTCGAAATGACCCATGGTAAGCTGCTCATAATCGGCCAAAATCGCTCTGAAATCACGAACGTGAGATCAGCGGTGTGAATCATGAAGCAAAAGATCCCATCTCGTTCTCCTTCAGTTCCTCAAAGTTGAAGTCAGGAAGGATAGAGCGACAATTCTGTAACGAAGACAATGATGTTCTCTAGTTCCGTAAATCTTTATCATTATCCATGCCAAAATATAAAAAGCAGTGCATTCCGTAAAATCGCAATTAATACACGAAGAAATAGAAGAGGGAAGCTTTTGAGATCTACTGTAATACACACTACTAGATGCACTACGAGAGAGGATGAATGGAGTCAACCGGAAAAAGAAAAGAACTTAGATGAACCAAGAGTATTATGCAGACGTTGTATTTCTCATTTCAGAACAAGGCAGTGGAAATCATCTGGGCATACGGGGAAAAAGACCCAGGGGTCGGGGAGGAACCTTCCTATCACGCGCGCAACCGAGGGGAAAGCAGCCTGTCCATCCTCGATGCCACCGTCGACGTCAGCCAGGAGGAAGCCTCGGCGGATCCCTCGAAGGACGGAACGGAGGATTAATCGGAAGCGGGCGTCCACATTCCTCCTACCTGATGGCCTTAGTTTCGAAAAGGTCTACATCATTGCTTCACTAATCACTAATTGATATATGTGTGTATTTTGCATCTTTGTCTTCATTCTTCGTAATTTTTCACCAAGGTTCACTGACCACTCTATTTGGAAGATTTCTATGCCCTCGATTCTGTTTCGAATGAAGTCACACCTTCCCATGAAACAATTATTGAGAATTTTTCACTTGAGCAAGAATGGGTCCTGGCCTCCGCCGTTCCCTCGTCGGTAGGGAGGTCACGCACACCCTCCACGCCCGACAAACACAACTCCAAAGGCCAGCGCAGGAACTGAAGAGCATTCAATATATTGAAATTAATGGAAAGTTATTGCATTATGAGCTCGATCCCATTGGTCACAAGCACCACGTCTGTTTAAGAGCTAAATTAAACAGATTCTAAATTAGTTCCTCTCAACCACGAGTCCTGCATTGGTTTTCAAAGGGCCGTTATCATTTGGAGAAACTGCAATCGGATCGTGCGATGCCCCAGCTATGACTCCTCGGAATCGACTCTAGAGTGAAAAACAGTAATGGGGAAAAAAAGGAAACTGCTCCCTCCCCGGCGGGGAATCGAACCCCGGTCTCCCGCGTGACAGACTCACCACTATACTACCGAGGACTCGGCGAACAAATGGCCGAAGCTAATCCAGAAAGATGGTTTTCGACCCGATTTCATGAATTTCATCCTTTTTTTTCTTCGGTTTTCTGGCTATATGAAAGCAGAATTACGTTCAAGTTCGGGAGATGGTAAAGTAAAGCTAAGCAGATTAATAATGCAAAAGGTGGTATAAATTCCCAAGAGAAACATCTTGGCGTTCTTTTCAATGGCACGTGGACTTTAGTTCCAGGTCCATTCACCAACCACCTCGACAGGCATTGCGGTTATCCGCGTAAGCATGTGGTTCATTTTTCTTTGTTCAGTATAAGGGGCTTAGATTTCGTTCTGAATGTCGTGCAGTTGCTAAAATAATGAAGAGGTAATGATCATATTTAAAGTTTTTTCTAGATATTTAAGAAGTATGCCAGTCCAAAGAAAATTTGGAAATTTTGAGTGGTACAAGAAAGTTCCAGTTCCACACTGCTTTTCAGAGTAATTTAAAATCGATTTCAGAAAAATTACTTGAGAAAGGCATTCTGGACTTCGAAGTAAGCCAATCCCAAGCTTGGAATACCAGCGTGGAAAGAGAGAAAGTAAGAGAAACGTCCCTGAAGCCTACGTGGGAATGAGTTCATCGGAAATGTTCATGTGACCGATTGGGTCGGACTGGGNGTAACAACGGTATTTTCCGGGTCTCGTAATTCAAAAGGCTGGAAAATGCTAAGCGAAAGCAAAGAGACAATAACCGGGTGTGATGTTGGATTTAAAAGAGGAAGTGAACTACGTAATCTGCATCCCTTTTTTATTCAATGAGCTAGACTACTATTATGTAATTAATATGCATCCCGGTACCTGAATAGAGCAAGGTCAATCCATCCGGTCGATTCTTATCCCATGTGGAGAAGTAAAACAATAGACGGCCGGAAATCACTGTGTTTATTCATTTGACTCACTGACTTTGGTTCTACCGTGACAGGATCGATATTCCGCATCGAACACCCTTCCTGACGTTGACAAGCAGCAAAATTATGAATTGGTTCGAGGCTTGGAGAACGGGACCCACACCTGGCTTCACTTCTGCAGGAATATCAGCACCACGGATTTGTTACAGGATTATCAAATCACGGTAAATTTCCGATTGACCTTATTTACCACATTTTCCTTTTCCATAGGTTGAGACGTGGAAGAAACTAGATCGTTTCCTCACTTAACAACCCAGATTCTCGTCCGCGTACTCCATTCTCAGGCACAAATGTATCCCAGAGTGTGGAAACCGAAATAAATATGGCGCTTCGTGAGGGACTCCGGAACGTGTCCCTCCCGCTTTCGTCAAATAAACCTCACTCACTTATTGTGAAATCACGCACAAACGTATGCATGCCGATCATGCACTCGATCAGGCTTTTAATCCATCGTTTCGTGAGCACTCGTGAGTTAACTTTACATCACTTTGTGTCTTCATGGGTCGAAATGACCCATGGGAAGCTGCTCATAATCGGCCAAAATCGCTCTGAAACCACGAACGTGAGATCAGCGGTGTGAATCATGAAGCAAAAGATCCCATCTCATTTTCCTTCTGTGAATAAAGTTGAAGTCAGGAAGGATAGAGCGACAATTCTGTAACGAAGACAATGATGTTCTCTAGTTCCGTAAACCTTTATCATTATCCATGCCAAAATATAAAAAGCAGTGCATTCCCTAAAATCGCAATTAATACACGAAGAAATAGAGGAGGGAAGCTTTTCAGATCTACTGTAATACGCACTACTAGATACACTACGAGAGAGGAATAATAGAGTCAACCGGAAAAAGAAAAGAACTTAGAAGAACCAAGAGTATTATGCAGACGATGTATTTCTCATTTCAGAACAAGGCAGTGGAAGTCATCTGGGCATACGGGGAAAAAGACCCAGGGGTCGAGGAGGAACCTTCCTATCACGCGCGCAACCGAGGGGAACGTAGCCTATCCATCCTCGATGCCACCGTCGACGTCAGCCAGGAGGAAGCCTCGGCGGATCCCTCGAAGGACGGAACGGAGGATTAATCGGAAGCGGGCGTCCACATTCCTCCTACCTGATGGCCTTAGTTTCGAAAAGGTCTACATCATTGCTTCACTAATCACTAATTGATATATGTGTGTATTTTGCATCTTTGTCTTCATTCTTCGTAATTTTTCACCAAGGTTCACTGACCACTCTATTTGGAAGATTTCTATGCCCTCGATTCTGTTTCGAATGAAGTCACACCTTCCCATGAAACAATTATTGAGAATTTTTCACTTGAGCAAGAATGGGTCCTGGCCTCCGCCGTTCCCTCGTCGGTAGGGAGGTCACGCACACCCTCCACGCCCGACAAACACAACTCCAAAGGCCAGCGCAGGAACTGAAGAGCATTCAATATATTGAAATTAATGGAAAGTTATTGCATTATGAGCTCGATCCCATTGGTCACAAGCACCACGTCTGTTTAAGAGCTAAATTAAACAGATTCTAAATTAGTTCCTCTCAACCACGAGTCCTGCATTGGTTTTCAAAGGGCCGTTATCATTTGGAGAAACTGCAATCGGATCGTGCGATGCCCCAGCTATGACTCCTCGGAATCGACTCTAGAGTGAAAAACAGTAATGGGGAAAAAAAGGAAACTGCTCCCTCCCCGGCGGGGAATCGAACCCCGGTCTCCCGCGTGACAGACTCACCACTATACTACCGAGGACTCGGCGAACAAATGGCCGAAGCTAATCCAGAAAGATGGTTTTCGACCCGATTTCATGAATTTCATCCTTTTTTTTCTTCGGTTTTCTGGCTATATGAAAGCAGAATTACGTTCAAGTTCGGGAGATGGTAAAGTAAAGCTAAGCAGATTAATAATGCAAAAGGTGGTATAAATTCCCAAGAGAAACATCTTGGCGTTCTTTTCAATGGCACGTGGACTTTAGTTCCAGGTCCATTCACCAACCACCTCGACAGGCATTGCGGTTATCCGCGTAAGCATGTGGTTCATTTTTCTTTGTTCAGTATAAGGGGCTTAGATTTCGTTCTGAATGTCGTGCAGTTGCTAAAATAATGAAGAGGTAATGATCATATTTAAAGTTTTTTCTAGATATTTAAGAAGTATGCCAGTCCAAAGAAAATTTGGAAATTTTGAGTGGTACAAGAAAGTTCCAGTTCCACACTGCTTTTCAGAGTAATTTAAAATCGATTTCAGAAAAATTACTTGAGAAAGGCATTCTGGACTTCGAAGTAAGCCAATCCCAAGCTTGGAATACCAGCGTGGAAAGAGAGAAAGTAAGAGAAACGTCCCTGAAGCCTACGTGGGAATGAGTTCATCGGAAATGTTCATGTGACCGATTGGGTCGGACTGGGGTGTGGTCGTTTGAATAAAATCATATTCCCATACCTCCCATTTCATCAGTCGCAGAGATGGCCGGAATCCTGTTACAGTGCGTCGTCGTGGCAGTTTTCGCATTCGGGGTCTGCTGGGGACTCCCGAATCAATCCAGATGGGCAAGAACCGAGGCGTTGGATTCGAAGGGACAAGTGAGGTTGCACTGGACGCCGAGGATCACCAAAGGAGACATCCAGTTCCTATTCGTTGCTCCAAGCACGGGATGGGTTGGAGTGGGTTTCTCCCCTAACGGCGGGATGATAGGGGCCGACATGGTCATTGGAGGAATCAGGAACGGATCCCCCTATTTCCGCGTATGTCTCACTTCCTTTTCCATATAGGCCTATCTTTACTAACTGGAAGGTTTATCGAAAATGTTTGCAACGCCTTTTGCCAAGTCAATTCGATTCGGCAGCATCGTCGGCAAATTCTCTCAGCAACATCGCATATTTTCTTGCAGGTTTTCTTCTTTTGTTATTGAATTAACGTTTTTTCATCAATATTTTCAGTGTTGCTAACTGTATAGGGTTAATACTAATCCCAGAAGACTTTACCATGAAGAGGACGTCGTAATATGAGTTTCGAGTCATACATCACAAGTTTCATGGAACTTGAAGAAACTATTGGCATGCAAGACAGATTCCTGTTTGGAGCGTTTTTGGATAATTTACTAAGTCCCTTGATACAGATCCATGAGAAAGAGCTTTTTGACAGGTCACATCTCTTGAGACTCAAAAGCATCATCTTCCTTGGATAGGGAGGTGGCTTAGCAGAAATGCTGAGAACATTTAGTTCAATAGCGAAAGACGTGAATTTTAATTAATTTTTGGCGAGTTGGAATATAACAAGATTTCAAATTCAGCGAGAGTGCTTCTAGTCAGAAAACTCGTTTGCGCAAACATCAAGACGAAGAAGAGTTGGCTTCGCCACATGATAACGCATCACTTGCCATCAGCTGATAAGGTATCACATGTCAATGAGGAAGTGAACAAGTTGATGGTGAATGCTGTTATCTTTAATGGCAAACTTTGAATTAGATGTCCATAGTTTCGTTGGGACCGGTATCCAAAGAATTGAGGCCAAATATTCGAAATATTCTCAAATATTCGAAATATTTGAGAAAAAAAATTGTCTAAGGCCAAAGCTGTATATTGTCTGTTACTATTCTGAGTGACGCAATGACGGTTTTCCGGTCTCTTAGTCTTTCAACGGTCTGGAAAATGCCAGACTAGTGCAAAAAAGGCGAAATCGAGAGTGACATGGATTTCAAAAGCGGAAGTGAACTATGTAGGCTATATCTCTCTTTCATTCAATAAAACAAACGACTATTATGCAATTTCAGTGCACCACAGTGCTTTAATAGGTGAAAGTCACTCCATCCGGTCGAATTTTATTCCATGTGACGAAGTAAAACAATAGGCGACGCAAATCACTGTGTTTACTCATTTGACTCAACGACTGGTCTTGCCGTGACAGGATTGCCATTCCGTGGGGAACACCCTTCCTGACGTGGACATTCAGCAGGATTACGAATTGGTTCGCGCCATGGAGAATGGGACCCACACCTGGCTTCACTTCTCTCGCAAGATCAATACCACAGATTTGTTACAGGATTATCAAATCACGGTAATTTTCGTCCTTTTGATTGGCTTTTGCTGGGATACAGAGGAAGCTGAAACGCTTCCTCTTGTAACAGCAGATTGTCATTGATGTTCTCCTCTCTCAAGCACGAACGTAGCCCCGCATGTGGAAGACGAAAAAGCGAAATATTTTTCTTGGTGAGGGACTCTTGTCCCTTCCTACTTAAATCACTTCCGTCATTCTGGCTACGGTGAAATCAAGTTCAGGCGTAGGCCTATGCCTATGGTCTATGGTCACGCACTCATTATGCTTGCCGCTTTTAATCTAATTTTGCCTTTCGCAAGAGTTCGTGAGTTTACTCAACATCCTTATGATTTCTTCTTGATTCGGAATAATGTATCTTCCCTGAAAGCTGCCCATACTCTGCCAGGTCGCTTAGTATCCGCAAAAGACCAGACATGTGAATCATGTTGCTAATATTCATCATCTTCTCGGTAACAGTTGTATGGATGGAGTTAAACTCAGGCAGAGTAGAACAACTACTCTTCAAAGAAGACAGTAATATTCTATGAACCATGATCCTTCTTTCAGCTAAAATGCAAAAAGTAATAATTTCGCCTAATGCAAGAAATTGACAAAAGAAAAGGGGGAATCAATTTTTTTGTTGATTGAAATGAGTAGATACACAATGAGAGGAAGGACGAAGTATTCCAGAAAGGGATAGTAATAAAGGATAAAGAAGAATAGTATTCGGATGTTGCAGATGTGTTCCATTTCAGAACGAGGCAGTGGACATCATCTGGGCATACGGGGAAAGAGACCCTAGGATCGGGGAGGAACCTGCCTATCACGCGCTCAACCGAGGGGAACGCAGCCTGTCCATCCTCGATGCCATCGTCGACGTCGGCCAAGAGGAAGCCTCGGCGGATCCATCGAAGAACGGAACGGAGATTTGATCGGATGCGGACGTCCGCATTCCTCAAGAGGTTCTTCTCGTCGCTTTCGACGAAGAAAAGGCATACACTTCATCACCAATGAAAATATGAAGAAAAAAAAGTTTGTATCACTTGTTTATCTTCTTCATGAATTGTGACCAACCCTCGCTGTGCGCTTGAGTTGACCGATTCCTTTGCCCTTCATTCTTGAGAAGTCGCACTTTCCGATGAAGCCAATGCTAACAACGTTTCATTTGAGAATGAATGCGTTCTGACCCCGAGTTTCCTCGTCCGTAGGAGAGGTATCCAGACCGACCATCCTTACACGGCGGACAAACACAACTCAATCGGTAAACATAGAAACTAGAAGCGTTCATCGTATTAAAATCAAATTTAACTGCGTCATGAGCGCGACCCCTAAGGTTACGGGCATCACATCTGAGCTAAATTAATCTGAACCCAAATGTGTGTTTTTCAGCCGAGAGGTTAGCCTATATTGATTTACGAAGGGCAGTAATCATTTGGAGAAACTGCAATGATATAGCGCGATACCCCAGCTATGACTTCCCTCACGAATACTCATCGGAATCAACTTCACAGTGGAAGACAGTTACGGGAGAAAGAAAAAAGCATTCTCCCTGCGGGGAATCGAACCCAGGTCTCCCGCGTGACGGGCGGGGATATGAACCACTATACTACCGAAGATTTGTCATTCTTTCCACATGGTCTGAGAATTCCGGCTGCCTTACCTGCTCCCCTGGTGTGGATTATTCAGGATACGACAACTCTTTGTTTCACCCTCTCAAAGGGATAAAGCGGTCAGGCATGGCTTAATAAGTTTCATTCGTGGGAATTGAGTTATATTACTTCAAAGGCACACAGGATGGAGAGAACCTTTAACCACACCATTTGTTGACACCTGGTAGCCATGGTAACCTCGTTAAACATGCAAATACCTGTTGACTGCTACTGTAGCTTCATTTTTCAACCAAATTCAGCCCGGTTGGATGCATTTTGTGGAGAATAGCCAATTCTTTGCAACTAACCTGAAAAATTTGCCAGTTTTTGCTGCATGATTGAGTTTAGGCTGATTTACTGTGAAATCGGATTTAAAATTGTGAGATTTTATCCATAAAATTAAAGATATACAACTTGCTTCGATATTAATCGTTCATTGCACAGTTCAATATGGCAACGGCATCCCACTTTAATTTCATCGATGCATCAGACGGAATAAGAAAATTATGCTTCTTGGAAGAATGCAATATTCACGAAAACGACGAATCGAGTAAAATGAAGTGGAAGTAGAACGAGGTCAAACATCACCCCAGTACACTTTGACAACAGTTCAAAATTACTCCCTCAGTTTCTTTTTCTTACTCTTTCTTGTTCTTTCTGAGGTGTCCTTGGTTCTGCCTGATCAACACTTGGTGAATAATTTGCTGAAACTTTCGAGGTTTTCATATTGTTGCCTAAATTTTGGCTTTCTAACCCCTTTACCCCCTTAAGGAACACCATGATGGAATAAATATCAATGGTAACGAAGCCGCCGAAGGCTTCCTAAACTGGCAGCACATTCAGAAGATTTCTACGGTGCCGGTGTAGAGGGTTCTCCATAAATATTCATACCTAACTGAAGTCGTGTATTTCCTCTACTACTAATTTCTCATGGAATCAATTGAGTCTCATTAATACACTGGGACTCAAAGTAACTACTTACAAAACGTATTCGATTTATCCCAGTTCTTCTTGACGGCAAGCTGGAGTCCATGATTTTGTCAGTCGATCGCACCGGACGGGAATGGTTTCACTCCTCTTTCGGCATGAACTTGGACTGATTCAGGTCACTGGATTTTGTTTATGGGCACTTGCTTCCAGGAGACTTAGCAAGCAGTTATCGGTCAGAGTTTTTTGGGGTCATTCGTAATTTTTTTTTCATTTAAGAAATGAAATTTTTTTAACCTCAAGCCACTTCTAGGCGGAGAAGGATTCATATTAAATCCGTGAAGGTTAACCATCAAAGAGACACTCACATAGAGGTATGAAAAAAAATTGCATAGCTGTTTTTAGGCGCATAGAAATGAAAGTTGAAAAGTTGAAAAATGAAAGTTAAAAGTGGTATGAATATGTATGACCCATCTTGTGCAGTACCTCCCACATCAATGGGAGAATTATTTGCACGTGTAGGGGTATTATCTTGAATATTACGGTAAGTTTCGAACAAGTAACTCTGATACAGAGATTTGCAGTTCGAAGTCCTCGGTAGTATAGTGGTTCGTTCCAGGTTATACCCATGAAGCCGACCCAGTTCATTCAGCTATAGTCATATAAATATGGGACAACCTTGCCTCACGATTTCTCCAGTAGGATTTTCAGCCAACATGGAATTTTATAGAGGGCATGAAGAATGAGACTGACGTGAAGAAAATCTATTCGTGACAATTTTCTTGCGAAGGGAGATCCTACCCTACAGTGTCAACATTCGCATGAACAGGAATATCATCCCTCAGTCTCGCTCGACCCGTTTTCTTGGAATACATTTCTCCAGCAATTTTAAATGGAATAATCATGTAGATGTAATCCGCGCCAAAACTGTGATCGCTCCGCTTCTCTTTATCCTTTACGTTAACGATCGATCCTCCTCGATACCTCGTGAACTCGACATTCACGTAAGTCAGTATGCAGACGACACCGCCCTCTGGCTCTCTGGCAGAGAGGTTGCAGTCCTCGAGAGAAGGGCTCAGGCTGCAGTCTCTTCTCTCTAACTATTGTCGCGTTTGGCGCATCGCTATGAACCCCTCCAAGTCCTCCCTCCTTCTCTTTGCTCGAGATAATAAACCCTACAGTGTCAACATTCGCACGAACAGGAATATCATCCCTCAGTCTCGCTCGACCCGTTTTCTTGGAATACATTTCTCCAGCAATTTTAAATGGAATAATCATGTAGATGTAATCCGCGCCAAAGCTACTAGGAAACTTAACTGCCTAAAAATCCTCTCTGGAGCCAATAGGTGCGAACCCCATATAATCCTAAAACTCTATTGCACCTACCTTCGCCCTGTACTAACATACGCCTTTGCTGCCTGGGCTAACTGCCCCGAGGCGGTCCTCAGCCCGCTCGAAAGAATCGAACGAGCTGCAATCAGATATGCCTTTCGACTTCCTACTTATTATTCTAACTCCTATATCTATCGAATTAGCGGACTAACACCTCTTCCTCAACACGCCTCTGAACTAGCACTTAACTACTTCAACGACCCTAAAAGGCCAGGATACATTAAGGAAATACCCTCAAAACTAAATTTAGAACTAGGAACAACTAAGGAACTAGTAACAATCCTGTTTCTTCTGGGCTGTATGGTTGCAGGAAGGAGATGCAGGAATTGAAGCAGGTGATGAAGTCTCACATGACTGGAAATGAGAAAGGCAATGGAGAGAAGACAGTCCAGATTGAATATTTGCGAAACATCCTCTATGAATACATGCTGGGCCGAGATCCTTTTGTCAGTCCTGTTTTTGACTTATTCTCTCCCCCTCCCTCTTCTCCAATTTGAATAGGGAGTGCATGACTTTGTTTTCCCTTCCATATGATAGACCCTGGCCAAGGTAATCTCTGCTGTCTTGGAATTCTCTCCTGACCAAACATCTCGCATACTTGAACATGAGGAAAGGAAAACAAGTCTGGTGAGCTCAAGTCTTATATATATTTTCTGTCATTTCTTAACTGTTCTGTCAATTTTTCATAAGAGCAATGTATACGATCATAAGTGGTGTCTTTTTAAAAAACGAGTCACTTTTAAGGATTCTTTTTGTATTGGCTACAATTCTGGTAAATAATAAGCCAATCTCCTGCTTTGTCCTGATACAAATTGCATCAGAGATACACCTATCCATGATGGTTGTCACTGAGACTCATTTGATTGTAAAGGTTGTATGTTTAAAAAAATATATGATACTGGGTTGCATTCTTGGCCCTTGGAGAAGAAAGGAAGACAGTATGTTTGTCCAATTAGCACAAGGATGAGAGTGATAGTGGTGATGCCCTCCAAAGGTTATTGCTTGGGTGAATAATGTCAGTAAAGTCTATTTGAAACCTCAAGTAGATATTTCTCTTTGCCCTTTTTCCCCTTCTAGAATGCATATCCCATTTTACTCCTGGGGATTTTTACTGTGCAAATAATTCTCTTATAAATAATTGGCTTCACCACTTTATAGGGTCTCCTGAAATCCATTGCTAGCAGTTCACCTGCTTTTCTTCCTATGTCTACACTTGAGAACTGCATTTTCTTCTACAATGAATACGTGTGGAATATATTTTAAAAATACAGAAGGCCAGGTTTCTGGACACTTGGACTAAAGAGAATACTTTTGGGGGAAAGTACCTACCTACCTGGTACTTGTAGTGCCTGGTACTCTACCTGTAAACAGAAAAAAAATGATAGAAAAAAAACTGGTGATCTGTTGAGCTATCCTTACTTTCATTAAAAGATTTTAAAAAATCTACTGTTTTAACCAAGCCCCTCAGAAAGTAAAAAAAAATGATGGAATAGATCTCATGCATAGTGTCCTATTGTCTCTTATGAGGTAGGGCATAAACATATGTTTCAACAGACTGGGCAGAGAGTTACCTTAACAGTCTGTTAAGGTAAAAAAAATCAAAACTGCTAATTTGGCCAAAATTCCATTTTCATTGTAATTTCATAGTTTTTGACAAGACATATGTGAGGCTTGACTTGCATTATTTGCATATTTCTTACATCATTCATTGTTTGACATGGATTTTCTTCCAGAAACGAAAAGGCAAGGGTCACCATGCAAAAATGGACAGGTATGGGTATGGTTTGTAGGCTCCATTTCATAGCAGTTTTGTAAATGTCTCTAGTTTGCTCCTCTCATCCTTGACTAACCATGTCGTGCTTGTGCAGATCTTGAAAGCCTCCTACTTTGCTTAGGATTCAGGGGGCCATAACTAGAAAATTCTTATTTATTATGACGCTATTATGCTGTTATTAGGAGGTTAGAGGATATTTATTAGCGTAACTGGAATGCATAATATTGGACTCATAGCGTCCGGTTAGCCGAGGATATAATATCACCATAATAGGCCATTTAAACAGCCCTTTAAAATTTGTCATGGCTTTTCCTAATTATTTTGTGCGAGAAAAATACTTAATCTCGACAGAATTTGAAAACTTTATTGAAAGCGTCTCACAACACTGTCTTTCACTGTCT